AAAAAATTATTTCAATTATACTCCAATGAAATAGTACAGTCTTGCCAAGTTGTTTAATCTTAGAATTCTTTTAGAGCTTAATACCTATTATTACATACAGAATCAATGTACTATCAAGCATGCTTTTTGAGAGCTGTTATATTAAAAGTACCTAAATATACCTGGGGCTCATTTTGTGATTTAGCTTAAATATAGGAAATATGTTTTCAATTGAACATTATTTTTAAAAATCATATAAATTTGCTTATTTTTGACACCTGAGTAGAAATTCATGAGATCATAAGTAATATATTTAATTCGTAGTCATTGAATTAGATTGCTACTGTTGCTCTAAAAATTATCATAGATTTAGTAGTTAAAACAACACAAAATTATCATCTTATTAACTTTGTACATCAGAAATCCTAAATTAAGGTGTCAGCAGGGCTGCATTCCTTCTAGAAGTTCTGGGAAGAATTCATTTTCTTGATTTTTTTTTTTTTTAGCATCTATATGTCATCTGATTTATTGGCTCATGTCCCCTTCCTGTATCACTCCAATCTCTGTATCTCTCATCCTCCTTCTCCTCTCAGATGCTGACTCTTTTGCTTCCCTCTTAAAAGGACTCTTATGATTATACTAGAGGCCTAGTGTATGAATTTGTGCCTCCTGTGGTCCCTCCCTCAGCCTGGCCTGTGGGATTGGGCTGAAACCAGATCTCTGACATCCTCCAAGGGGTGCTGGATTTAGAGAGGGTGCAGGCCAGGCTGAGGGATTCCACCTGTGCACAATTGGGGTCTGAAAAGGGATGTGGGATGTTGGCCAGCTGGGGAGGGACCACAGGAGGGCTCTAGGGCATGTCCAGCTCATCTCTCTCAGTCCTAATCAGCCAGACCTCAGCAGCAAGCTAACCTATCGGTTGGAGTGTCTGCCCCCTGGTGGTCAGTGTACATCATAATAAGTGGTTGAGTGGTCTTAGCACATCATTAGCATATTATGTTTTGATTGGTTGAAGTGTCCAAGCACTGGACACTTAGCATATTAGGCTTTTATTATCAATATATAGGATTGAGCCAATCCAGATAATGCAGAATAATTCACCATCTCAAAGTTCTTAACTTAATTACCTCTACAAAGTTCCTTTTTCTATGTAAGGTAACATTCACAGGTTTCCAGGATTAGGACATGAACATCTTATGAGGGCCATTATTCTATCTACCACAGACATATAATTCCATGAAATACAAAACTATTAGTCTCTAATCTATAGCATCTTATAGTACACTAATTTCATCATTGGAAATCAAACAATATTTCTTACAGATTTTTTAAAGGAGCATCAACTGCTAAACTTACACAGGGGGATATTATTTAGAATATGTTTATTAGATGTTCTCTCTCTGTCTTAACAAGGAATATTTATTTATTTTTGCTGATGTCATGACATCTTTCACCTAAATATAACAGTAGAAATCTCTGAAATATATGAAAATTGTTTTCTATATCCTAAATGACAGCCTTCCTTTTTACAGGAAAGTTGTTACAATCCCTAGCAAGAAGAATGTATTAGATAACAATAAGTTTGCTTAAGCAAATTATTGTTGTTGTTATTTTTATAGGTAGTAAGTAATGTAATTGACCTTTTTACTGAGTGCTAGGATGCTTAGAGCAAGTTTGTGACCCACATTTATCATTAATATCTTATTTTTTCCCCTTACAATTGTTTTATTTTTCTCCTAGTTTCGTCATTTATATTTTCCTCCCATCTCAATGTGCAATATATATATATATATATATTTTTATGCCTTGCCTCAAATCTTTTTTTGGAAGTAAGCCATGTATACATAAATAAGAAAACATTTCCTGTTAGTACTTTGCAGTAGGGTTTTCTGAGGAAGCATATAGAACCTTTATCCTTGCAAGTTTTTAAATTTAGTTAGAATGCCATCAGGATACTTTGGATTGGAATTCAGTTTAGAGAAGATTTAAACATCCATTGACATTTCCCCTGATTCCTCTTACAATTAAGAAAATGGAAATATGCAAACAATTATTTTGCTATTGGGTTCTATTTTATATTTTCAAAGAATAGAAGAACTTTTGCAGGATCACTGCAATCAAGTGTCTCCCATTTGACTCAAATATCTTCACTACTCAAGTAAGAGCACCCAAATGAAGAAATTCCAATTTCTTTTGAAAAAGACTTCACAGATATGAAAACGTGGCATAAAGGGGGTTCTGATGGTAGCTGGCAATTCATTTTCAATTTATTTTTGATACATTATATAAATACTATAACATCCCAAAGTTCTCTCTCCTTTATAATTTTTATCTATGGTGCTAAAGAGTCCAAAACTGCCCCGAGGAAGGAAGTGTATCATTTCCCTTCCCTTCCTACGAGTTTTCTGTTTAAATCCTGCTGTTGCCAAGTTTGAGTGGAAAATCATTTCATTGCCATTTGGCAGTGTACATGACTCTTGGCCAAAAAGGACTATTTAAGCAACTTTGAAATCTGCTTAGACTTTAGAGCTGTGTGTGTGTGGTGTAGTCCCAGTGCTCCTGAAAAACACAGAGAGGTCTGCCATTCTCCCTGCCATGCACTCCAATATGACATAATTCCATGCCACGAGTACCAGCAAAACAGAAGGCCCACAGGAGAGCCTTAGCTCCATCTTCTGAGCTTTCTGCCATGAATCTGAGGGGGACTATTAGTACTGTTAATAGTGCACATAAGGGAGCAGTAACTCCAGAGCGAGGAATTGTGATAAGCCTTTAAGTGCATTTTTCAGTTAATCCTCATCATGGTCCCCGAAAGGGGTTGCTATTATGGATGAAGGAACTGTGACTTACGAAGTTAAGTCACTTGCCCAAGATCACATGGTTTGTCAGAATTGTGATGAAAAACATTTGTATGTTTTATTTTAAAACCCATAGTGTTAACCTTTATGCTGTGATCCCCATAGTTAAGTTTGTGTATATACAGGGAGCCAGGCTATATTGTTGCTAAGAATGAGCTTCTATTTAAAAAATTAAAAAAAATATATAAGAGTAATATGTAGAACTGAACTCCTTAAATTTAGAAAAGAAGACATCATTTAGTATTGTTTTTCTTTTTGCTATCAACTAGAAATTCCCTTTGCATTCCGAAAGGAAATATAACTCCAATATTACCTTGAGATTTATGTGGTATCATTGAGTCATATAGCATTAAGGGAAAAAAAGAATAACTTTAAATCATTTTGATGGGAAGTAGCTTAACGGGCAGATGTAATGATGCTAGGAGTGAGGAAATGAATCTTATATTCTGGTTTAAGTTTGACTCATATTATGCTTTTGGAGAGCTACTCAGCATTTTAATAGTTTTGATATCTTTTCCTTAAAATGAAGATATACATAAATATAACTATATAATTTATGGTAGAAGATTTGAATTTTCTTTCTAAAGTAGGTTGGCCAGCAACTAGATTCTAGGTCGATGACATCTAACTAACCCATATGTGCCGCCCGAGCTGTACTTGTTTATGAATAGGGGAAAAGATCATTCCTTCTCAGGAAGTGAGGAGGGAAGCCCAGGCCCACCCATATGATCCGTAAGTCCTTAGTCTACACCTCCTTCCTGTTGAGTGGGCCCTCATTCTGACTTGAGAGCCCAGCTTTGGGTTTGGTTTCCATTTTGGCTCTTTTTCCAGCTCAGTAAACTTGTATGTATGCTTAGATTGTGTTTGCTCCACTGATGAAGCTTTGACAGGGAAGAAAATGCTCCAAAGTCAAATTAAGGCCTTCATCAAGCCTGTCAAATTGTGGCCCGCAGGCCACATGCCTTGTTTATTTGACCCGTGCTTGAGTTCGACATGCTTGGCCTTCATTATCCTGCATGAGGATGATTACAGTATTTTCCTATCTGATATTTCTCCTTTGGTCTTCTCCAGTCTATCCTACAGTCTGTTGGCAAAACCATTAAAAAAGTACAGATCCTTATTTAAAACTAGTTAATGGCTCACCTTGATCCTGAGGATGAAGTGCAAATGTTTTTATTGTGGCTGAGTCACTCCTTGGTCTGGTCCCTGCTTCTCTATCTTGTTATATATTCTTACTCCTTTACTCAGCTACCCCAGGTGCTTGCACTTCCCCTTAAAAGATGTGTGTGTGTATGTGTGTGTGTGTGTGTGTGTGTGTGTGTGTATCTATGTTCAAATGTTCATTCCACTTATTTGATCTTCTTTTTATTATTACTATTTTTTCTTTATGCTTATTCCAACTTTCTTATAGAGCTTGAATGACTTAGATGTCTGAGGCATAGAACTGTGTTTTTGAAAGACTGACTGATTTACTAAATTAATGAATGAAAAGATAAGCATGTAGATTCCATTCCCTCTTGGAAACCAAAACCAAAACTAAAACCCTTTCCTATGCTTATTCCTTGCTATTTTTTTTTCATTCAGTGACAACTTCTCAAAAATATGATCTATACTCCAATACATGTATTTATTTACTATTATTCCTTAATTCCTTTACAATATGGCTTTTGTCATCATAATTTTACTGATATTATTAATTAGTATACATCTGTATCCCTTTTGCCATATTCAGTAACTTTATCTCTTTTTTAAAAATAAATAGACAGGTATAATGATGCATTGTTCTTCACACAGATGTCTGCAGAGTCTTTAACTAAAATCTAGGAATATGCAAGTAGTTAACATAGACCATGTAGCCAGATCTAAAATAAACTGGCTTCTTATAACTACCCCGTAAACATCACAGCTCTTCTTCTGTCCAAAATGAACATAATCTCACATGAAAACAGTTAATGTAGGGCCAAAAGTTTTGCGGCCAAAAATAAAAACCAAAAGAAAAATAGCATTTTGGAGGTTAGCTGGTGACAGCAGGGCATCTGGAGCCTTCACTGTGCTGCTTTGTCTTCTTACTCTTGCTCTTTTTGTCCCTCTTCTTCCGCCCATCCATGTCTGCTCTCAATAGGTTTGCGTAAGCCATCGGAGGCTTATTCACTTCTTTGGAGCTCACACTGTGCTAATCTTTTCCCCATCAGTAGCTCTTAGACATTTATTGTCTGAGGGCAGAAAGCCCTCCACTGAACCTTTCCTTGGAAGGGGTTTAGTTCGGCCATCATACTTCTTCGTGGTGATGAACACACTGCCCGGCAGCCCGCACTTCTGGAAGAGCCTGGTCAGCTCCGTCAGGAACTGCTCGCTTTCCAGCAGAACCATCCTGGCTCCACTGGCCCCACTCCGGCCACATCAGTGACTTTATCTTTTATATTCTCCTCTCTCTCTCTCTCTCTCTCTCTCTCTCTCTCTCTCTCTCTCTCTCTCTCCATATCCTACCATCATTTCAAACTCAGCATGTCTAAAACTAAATATTTTAATATTCACTTCACATCAATTCTCCACTTATGAACTTCTTCTACCAGTTGTACAACTAGTCACCCAATCTCAGATTCTTGTTGTTATCATCCCTCTCCTTACCATTGTACTGTTTGATTTATTCTTTTGTAATATTTAATTCCATTTTACTCCATTTGTAGTTACTACACTAGACCACAATTTTATCATTTCATTGATACATGCTTACAATAAACTTCTATTTGTCTAATAGAAATGTAATGTGGTCACGTATATAATTTTAAATTGTCTAGGAGCAACATTTAACGATTGAATTGTATAGGACAACAGTTTTCAACCTTTTAATCTCATGGCATACATAAACTACTGAATTCTGTGGCATACAAAAATAGGCATAATTTTATTGATTTACAAATAATAATAATAATAATAGTAACTATTATTATTTTGGTTATTTATGGTATTTGATGGATTTCTTCTCTGTCTAGGTATTTATGTACAAGTGACATATAGATTGATAAGTCTTTCTGTTGTTTTCCAGTTGGTGGTGCTGAATCCCAAGTGTTTTTTTTTTTTTAGCTCTTTTTTACTTCTCTGGCTTTGAAGATCTCTGGGGAGGGAGTGGAGGGGTGATGGTGGGGGTGAGAAATAGCCTATGCTCCATGGAAAGGTGAATGCCTCCCTGTGATTCTGTTACTCTGGTCTCAGGGGACCAACCCCGCGGGGGATGATGCAGTTCCAAATTCATGAAATCTATAATAATAAAAGCATAATATATTAATTAGACAGAACATCCTGACAACATTCTGGATGAAGCCAGGGCTGCAGGGGAAGCCCGGGTTCTGGGTGCCAGAGGGAAGCTGGTGCCAGCAGCTGGGGGAACGAAGACCTACGCTTGCATGAATTTCATGCATTGGGCCTCTGGTATATTTTATATGCCATAGTATTCATTTATGTAGGTCCTAAACCCTAATGGAATACATTTTATAACTGTTTTCTAATAATTTGCAAAATTTTTTTGCGATGAAGCTGTATTAATTGATTACATAGGATATATTATTTAATTATCTAGTTTCCAAGAAATATGCATCATTTAGCCATGCATACAATAATTGAGTACTAGAGGAATTTTGATGCAATACTAAGCTTTCTCCACTTGGTGGCTTCAGTGATTAAAATTATTTTCAATTTTATTTTGAAAACTTCATTTATTTTAAATTAAAATTTAATTATCAGAACTATGTTAAAATTCTATATTATGACTGTTAATATTTTTCTAAACATATCACTATTGTCATTAAGTAGGTTATATTATATTCTTGGAGCCACATTTTAGGGAACTTTTTTATATTGGCTTTAAAATAGTGAAACAGTTTCTTTACATGTAGCTTGACAGTTTAATTAAATCGCTGAAGTAGATATTTTATAATTTTAGTTTTAAATAATATATGAATTTTCAAATTTAATTAAAAATATTTTTATTGATTTCAGAGAGTAAGGGAGATGGGGAGAGAGAGATAGAAACATCAATGATGACAGAGAATTATTGTTTGCCTGTCTCCTGCAGGCCCCACACTGGCGATGGAGCCCAAAATCCAGGCATGTATCCTGACTTAGAATTGAATCATGACTTCCTGGTTCATAGGTTGATGCTCAACCACTGAACTCAACCCAAGCCAGGCTCAATTTAATTTTGTGAGTAAAAGAATATTCCACTTAATCTTTTGACATTGTAAATGTATGAAAACATCATTTGAGTGCCCTAGAACTTGTAATATTACTTCTTGTGCTTGTTTCTTTCTGAGAGCCAAAACTAATTTTATATAAACTCTGAAGGAAAATCATGTCAATCTAATGTAAAATGAATTCCTTTATCAATTTAACTCTAAAAAGCTAAACATTAAACACCAAATCTTAAATTCTTCCCCATACTCTATCATTATGTTTGCCATTTTTCTGCTCTCATGTTATGTATTTCTTTAGTTACATATAGCTCTTACGTTAATTTTTTTAATTGCTAAGGTCAAATAGATTTATTTTTCTGGGGATATATATTGTGATTATTATAAAAGATACAGGATTTATTGTTCTCAATAACATTTATTTTATCTAAAATTTACTGTATATGTTAACAATAAAAACAATTAGCCAAAACCGGTTTGAACGTCAGTCTGTGGACTGAAGGGTCCTAAGTTCGATTCCAGTCAAGGGCATGTACATTGGTTGCAGGCACATCCCCAGTGGGAGGTGTGCAGGAGGCAGCTGATCGATGTTTCTCTCTCACCGATGTTTCTAACTCTCTATCCCTCTCCCTTCCTCTGTGTAAAAAAATCAATAAAATATATATTTAAAAACAAAACAAAACAAAACAAAAAGACCACAATTAAAACAAAGGCCATGCCTCTGTTAACTCAAAATAAGAAAGATAAACATATTTTTATGCAATTAAGATTTATTTTTCAAAAATTAGCTGGAAATTTCATTGTCTTTACTCAATTTTCCCACCATTAATAATTTAATGATATAAAAAGTTTATAAGAATTTATTATTATTGGAAGATACACACTAAGATAGAAGTAGTAGCTATAATTATAATTTCACTAATGGTAAATATGTAGAATTCATTTATTATCTTGTATATTTCATAACAAAAATCTCATACTGTATCTCAAAGTGGAAACCATACATATACAGAAGTTTGAAAGTTTCATATTACTGAATATCATCCACTTATTGGATTGAGATATCTTTATTTAAAGTTTTCAGGAGAACTATTGTATATACAATTTGAATGAACAATGCTAAAATGATTATTCTTATACATATTTCCTTGTATCCTCTGTGGCAGCTTTCCTAGTTTCTAAACCTTGTATTAGAATTCATGGGTTGTGGTTAATGAGCATTTTTAACTTTCCTAGGTAACCAAAATTTTTTTCAAAGCAGTATTTAAAAATTTACCCTCTTACCAAAAGACTGGAAGTTTCTGTTGCTTTATATCTTCAACAACACTTGGTATTGAGAGATATTTAGTTTTTTGTTGTTGTTGCCAATCTGCTTTCTTTCCTTTTGTATTCTTCTAACTATTAGGGGATATGAACATATTTTCTTTTGTTTATTGGATATTCATGTTTCTTCTAGGAATTGCCTGTTTATATCATTTGCTCATTTCCCCATAGGGTTGTTTAGTATGTTGATTTGTGGGAGTATTTTAAATATCCTGTATGTTATTGACTTAAAAGTTGTGTGAATTTTAAATAGTTTCTTTCAACAAGTACACTTGTGGGTAATTTTTAAAAACCATTTTATAATGTCTGTTGTTGTGCAGTTTGTAATTTTAACAAAGGGAAAAGCATCAAGCATTTCCTTTTATTGTCTGTGCTTATTTCATATCTTGTGTAATAATTCCTTTCCTATACCAAGATCATAAAAATATGACCCTTACAGGTTCTCGTCCTCCCCCATCCCCCTTATAGTAAATCTGTTTCATCCAAATCCATTTATTGGTTAGTGAATCATTCTGCCATTGATTTTTATATAACCACAGTCATATATTAACTATGCATGAAAATATTTCTGGGCTTTCTATTCTACTACATTGGTTTATTTTTTCTGTCCTGGACCAATGTAACACTTTATATCTTTGCGACTATAAAATTTTGATATGTGAAGGCTGGACCTCTCCTCTTGTTCTTTTAAAAAAATATATGTTTTATTGATTTTTTAGAGAGAGAGGAAGAGAGAGGGAGAATTAGAAATATCTATGAGAGAAAAACATCTATCAGCTGCCTCCTGCACTCCCTCTGTTGTGGATTGAGCTGCAATGTGGGCATGTGCCCTGACTCAAATCCAACCAGTGACCTATTGGTACGTGTGTAGATGCACAACCACTGACTCACACCTGCCAGGCTCCTCTTGTATTTAAGATAGTTTTGTTTATTCTTGGCCATTTCAGATCTTCCACATAAATTTCAAATCTTCTCCCCCAAATAATTTATTTATTAAAATTTAGGTATTATTTATGAAAGTTTAGTCATAGTTATGATACCACTTATTATAATTAAAAATATTCATATGTATAAATTCACTTTCAGAACAATATAAAATTGTAGTGGATTTCTGAAAATTCTCCTTTAATCCTATGGAAATTTCCTTAAATGATAGCATATTTGTTAAAATAAAAATAAAAATAAAAATTCTGACTTTAAACTTCTAACCACATTGTATTAAAATGACTAAATAAAATAAGCATTAGAGAGGGAAAACTTATTTTGTCATATTAACTCTGTCCTGTGTATATTATAAACATTTCAATTGATTTTAGAATAAATTTAATTTATAATTTCTGTTCTTTGTTTAAAAGCTTTCTATCAGTTTTTTTTTTTTCATTCTACTGTCTTGCTAAAATGAACAAAATTTAAAAAGTAGCTATTTCCATCTTTTGGTTTTAATTAATTTATTTAATTTTGTATATGGTATCTCTAATCTCTGGATATATGTACTCCACTTAGTTCATACTACCTTCAGTTGGGTTTAACCATTGGGAGTCCAGTCCCTGTTTTTTTCCCTGTCAGTGCCTTGGGCACCACTCACAGAGAGTATGGGATGGATGATGTCCTGGTAGTTGTAGAGCAGAGGCCCTCGTTTATCCTCAGAGAAAGCAATTTCATCACTTTTGCAATTTCTTCTGAACTTCACCTTTATATAGCTAAAGAATATGTTTATACTCTATCCACTGAGCCAAACCAGCTAGGGCCCCAATGTAATTATATCACAACGTTTGTTTTAGTCAATATTCAGACGTTATGTTACTATCATTTGTAATTATTGTTCAGAACTCAGAAAGAAATTGATCACATTCCCTTTCT